GTGTTGTCCAATGATTCCTTTGTTATCTCGTCTTTCCATCACATTGACATGGGTTCTTGGTGTACCCTGTTGTTGTCCCGAACAACATGCACAAAACCTTTAAAATCAGTGCAGAATGATCCATTTCTATTCCTCATAATTCTCCTGAGGACGAGAAGATGGATGGAATGTGTGACTGTATAGATGCTAGTGTTCCAATGTGTAGGAAGGCACCTTTTAAACTTCCATTTGCTTGAATCAATGAAAGCCTCCATCAATCTGTTTTATGCTCTCCTCTTAACTTATTTATGAAGATTGGGAATCAAGCAACTGCAAGATACAAATATATTCATTGCAATATACACGGAGGTTTCGATATAAAACCATACTAATGTCTGTAAACTGTAACATAAGAACTTGGAGATAAAAGATTGTGAAGCTTTTCAGATACTGAAACTTCAGAAACATCCCCTTTGAGAGATTTAATCTCTGAACAAAGTTGTTCAGTTCTGTTTGTGTTAAGGTTTGGTGTTTGTGCTTTGTCCAATAAAATTCTTCAGCCGACTTGCTTGGTTTGGAACATAAGTCAGTAGATTTGAAGGAGGTTCTTGTTATAGGAAATGTCAGTACCACGTGTACAAACTTTCTAGCAGACTCAAAATCAGAAAAACCATTCATGTCTGTTCTTTGTATTTGGGGAAATCCCCCTTTTTTTTCAAACTGTGGCCAAAAATACAAAAGTTAACAATCATATAGATGTTCATTGGCTTATGCTACACCATAGACTACAAATCTCTGTGCCTTCCTCTCCCCTTCAACCCATTTTCTAACTCTGCGCCACTTTATGAGGCAACACAAATATAGCAAAATGTATTGTGGGGGCATTTACTTTTTTTTTTTTTTTTTTGCATGATTATAGGACAACAAATATTTAACAAACAATACTATTCTTTGGATCACTCTGCTTTTGAATATCTTAGTCAACGGCTGGGGGTTGATTTACTTTTGCACAAGGTCTGCTATTAATAAGCATGGAGCTATGTAACAAGGTAATTTTCATAAGTTTATGAATATAATACTTGGTAACTGCTTACCATCTGACTGTGTTCCTGTTACAAAATCTGTGCAAAATAATGACTTTCATCAATATCACTAATAATATATATGCATTCGAAACTCATTGAAGATAATGTTATATATTTTCATTTTATTGTTTTTATCACAAATTCCAGGAAATTATTCAAAAATGTGATGTGATGGATAAAAGTAGGGGCAAATATTGAATTCAGCTGACGCTAAACTTAACATATGAAACAAGTGTCAAAATCAAAAAAGGAAATCCATGTTTTACTTTGTGTAATCTGTTTTTTCCTTCATCCAGATGCATGATTTTTTTTGTAACTGAAAATTCCGTGTAGGGTTCAGCCCTCTGACAATGGAAGATGTACTTTAATACTATAGTGGCAGAAAATAGCAAATTGGGAATTATAATTCTAAATGAAAAATGGTTTGAAGCATCTAAAAGTTCAAAAGGTACAATTAAAAAACCAACTTAAGAACAAATTGCCATTTTATCACCATTTATTGATAAGTTTTAGTAGCAGTCTAACCTTTGTGTAACTAATATAACCATCTTTTTAACTACTAGAAATTTTTTAAGAGATTCTTTTAATTACAGTAACTCTGGTTATAGTGAACTTCTGTTGGACAACATTTTTAACTTCACTACATCAAAAGTTCTCGCATATAACGATGATGTCAAATTCAATAGAATTTCCCACAATGATTGATTTTATTAATACAGATATATTACAAAATACATTAACAACAACAAACTGGTGCAAATTTCAATACCTTTATTTATTTCTTAAGAAGAGAAATCAATTAATTATTATCACTTGTTTATTTTGTACATTTTTCAGTATGTAATTTTCTAGATCTCCTCAGAATTCGTGCCTCTCTCTCTATACGTGATCACTTGCATTGTCCAACTGTCTCTAGGTCTATTGTAATGAGTCTTGACACCTATTTTAAATTCTTTGCACTCTTCGAAAGACACATTTACTCCCTAATAACATAAGAGATTCTTTCGGTACCGGGTTCTGAATTATTTTTTCACCAGCAAGGCCGGAATCACAGAGCGTGTTGTTTCTGTTGCCTAATGTAGAACTGTACAGAGAAGGGGGAATAATACCGTGGACGGGAGGGCGTTAGCAGACTGAAGGGCCCCTCTCTAATACAAAGTAAAATGTGTACAGCCCGGTGCACGGGCCGTGAGGTGCCCCGGGGGGGAGAGGGATGGCCGCTGGTTTAAGAAGGGAGAGCCGAGGAGTGACAAAGTACAAGAATTTCATTGCACATGACGTTTTATTATATGAAATACTATCTTATACGTTAGATGGGATGCTATGACAAATGAACTATATTAATTTGTAGAACCCGATATGGAATTAAATGAATGATACAAATGATTGGGGATATACGTTATACCACCAGTGAACGGTGATCGTGAAGTGGATCGAACTACCCCGTCCATGGGGCACACAGCATTGGGCCGATACCTTATGCTGGGGGCTTGCGGCATGCGTGACGCAGCGTGCTCCTCTCCCGGGCAAGGGACTGCAGGCGTCCCACACAGTTCTGGTTGCAGGGAGAGCATGTCCCGCAGCTTGAGCACGGACCGGGCCCTAGGGCTGGCCCTGACAGCAAAAGTGGCGGGCGGCACACACGGTCTCTCGCCAGCAGGTAACTGAAGGTGTGCCAGTCAAAGTCGTCTACACCTGTATAGTGGCGACACCGTATACGCGCGGCTGCTCGTCCGATTGATAGAGTAGCGCACTCAACCCCTGATACACGTGCCAAAAGGCAGCGGTTTTACGTGCGCATGAAGCGCAAACATGAAAATTATTCGTGAGCGCGGAGACTGGCTCAACGAAAGGCCATGGATGGGCGGTGTGGCTGTGCCTTCACCTTCGGTGGTTTCTCGCAAGTGAGAACCTGCACAAGTGAATGGTCGCGTTGCAAAAGCCAGAAGGCTGCAAGCCCTTAGGGAAAGCGGGGGGGGGGCGGGGGCGGCGGCGTGGGTGCGGGTGGGTGCGGCGGGCGGGCACCTGTGGGAGCGGCCCGCCTCCGGAGGGAGGGAGCGACCACCCGCCTTTGCGCGAGGGCTTA